TGCGCCTCGGGGCTCCTTGGATCAGGTCTGTCCAGCAAAGCGCGTGGTCAGGCTCGTGGTCTCGCACCACTGTCCGAGATTCCACTGTGGTTGACTAGATTAGCTAACTTCATTAACCAAAACAAATAAAATTGATCTTATTTCCCTCCTTGTTTTTGCTACTGGGAAGGGCCTGAAACCAAGTATTTCTGTTTTTAATTTTCCTACACACGAGCCCTGGTGGCATAATGGTTACACATTGGCCTGTGAACTTTAAGGTCAGCAGTTTGAATCCACCAACTTGCTCCTCAGGAGAAGGACAGGGTTCTCTGAAACTCTGAATTTTCCTACACAATAAAAGCAGGACTTTATCCAAGTTACTTTGGTGTTCTTAGGGGCTGTTCAGCTGATTCTGACTCATGGTGACCCTACGCACAGGACAAAACCTGGCCCGGTCCGCACCATGCTCACGCCATCACTGCTACGTTGGAGTTTACTGTTGTCACCACTGCGTCAATCCGTCGCCCTGAGGGTCTTCCTCTTTTTAGTCACTCCTAAGTCTGTTAGAATGCAGTGGAAAACAAACCAATAGGTAAAAGGACTGGGACTGAGGCAGTCAGCCAAAGATTATTAACTTCTCAGCTGCCAACCCAGAAGCTGCCCCGGCCCTCCTTTTTCCATCTTAGGAAAGGCCCCATCCCACAACGGTGGCTGACAACATAAAGAGAACTTCCAGGGTTTCCCACCCCTCGCAGTTAGTGGTGCAAGGAGATGGTTCTGCAGAATGAGGCTCAGGGGAGGAGGGTCTGGAGGAGCTCTTCCGGCACAGCTTCTGGAAAAGGGGGGATACAAGGAAATACGCCTGCTTCCTTCCAGGCTTCTTCCATGATGTCTGGTGCAGCAGCAACCACAACAGAAACATGAAGCTAAAGGCCTAAGGATCAAAAATCAATATACTCAGAGGAAGACGAGGCAGAGTGCAAAATACGTACCTCTTCAATGTCACAATTAAGCCACTGACCAGTAGTTGTTAGGGGCGATCAAGTCAGTTCTGACTACACAGTTAGACCCACCTATCTCCCTACTACTTGTTACTGAGCAATAATGGCCTTATCATTTAAAACAAGCAGCTTGGTGGCCCAATGATTAAGCACTCAGCCGCGAGCCAAAAGGTTGGGAGAGTTCGAATCCAAGAGTTGCTCCACAGGAGAAAAGACCTGATCTATTCCCCGAAAGATGACAGCCCAGAAGCCCCTGTGAGGCAGTCCGCGTGTGTCACCGAGGGCTGCCGAGTGGTGACTGACTGAAGAGCAATTCCACAAGCCATTTTTAGCTGAATCCTGTCACTTGCCAAAGGCATCCTAAAAATACTGTGATCAAGTTCCTGGAGACAGGAGCCAAGAAAAGAGTAGGTTTAGAGAAGTTCTCTATGTTTACAGATGCTGGGGCACTTTCTTTCCTGGTAATGTTATACAGAATACGTAAACACTCCTTCCAATATAAAACACTCGTGAATTCTGAGTACAGTATGTTAAGGCATCCACTGAAAGGCATAGCTTCGTTCAGGAGAAAAATAAAGGAACTGTTCAAGGGCCAAAAATTAAGAGAAATTTAAAAACCACAGAGGGGAAAGTATAATGTGACATTGCGTAAGAGCTGAAGGCTTGGTTTAGGGCAGTGGTTCGCCACCTTCCTAATGCCGCGACCCTTTAATACAGTTCCTCATGTTGTGGTGACCCCCAACCATAAAATTATTTTTGTTG